TTTTGACAATGATCCACTTCAGATCTCATCCAGATCAGTATGTGTTTGATTTAACAAGTTAATCAATATCTATACTCATACACATTACATCAAGATACTTATTAATGGTAATATTTACTTCCTATAAATGTTTTAAAGCATTCTCATTCACAAAGTACCGACCACCTTTGTATCTGGAGAAGTCGTGTCTTCTGAGGAATGTTTGGATAAAGCCCATTATAACGTGTCAAATTCTGATTTCCCACAAATTTATCAACAGTGTGGTTCAATAAAACAAGAATTACTTCCCGATTAATTCAGTTTCCAGCTGAGAAGCCTCTTTTGAAACCATCTCCTGTGACCTACAGTCAAAGCCTCTCTGCGACGCTGCGAGTGATTTACAGACAAAACAACTCTTTTCAGAGCTACTCCACATCTCCGACATCTAACCTGCAGACCCCGGGTTGAATCTCATGGCCGGTGAAGCTGAATTCAGAGGAAGATATTAATCTCTGAGTATTGTGGTTTTGACGTCTGGTGACCTCACGACTCAGACCACACCCCTCCGGACCGGCAGGAGCAACTCACACCACGGGTATCGTACGCCTGCATACTGGTGTCAGATGAGTTTAAATAAACAACTCTCTAGTTTATAAAAAACAAATTAGTTTACAACCCAGACTTCACAAACTCCCTCAGATACAAAGAAGGGTTTTGCTAAACATCTAGCTTCCATCACAACATTTCACACATCACATTAAATCACATCTCATTATTCATATCTTGTCATTTACAATCATTAGTTTAAGAAAAATAATTAAATTAATTTTATAAACTATATACCTGACTCAGTCTGAATTAATATCAAGTGTGTTTATGGTCCCTGAACAAGAAAAAGAAGCCTAGAATCTTCTGTTTAAACATTCAACGATCAATCAGGTTGATATTTCATTTCATATGGAATCATCACATCTTATTGGTCATTTTCAATAAAGTGTAAATTGTAAGTTTACACCTGGCAACCTCCACCAGCTCCAACGGCAGGACTCCTGCTAGATACAATGCCTCCAGCATGTCCCGGGTTGACCTGGGGGCCTCCTGCTGGCTAGACATGCCTGAAACACCTCCCCTGGCTGAGAGGCATCCAAGCATTCTCACAAAATGCACAAACCACCTCAACGGGTTCCTTTGGAACATGGTCATGGATCTCTATGGCTGAGCTACCTTGCATCTGTGATTTTGCTCTTTTGGTTATCACCATGACCATAGCCTCTACGCCCCCATGACCTGGACTTGGATTATCAGGTGAAAAGGGAAGACCAGGCAGGAAGATGATCATGTTGTTTGAAGATCAGAAAGCAATAGATTATTCGGCCCTAGTCAACACATCTGGCACATTTTTTATTTACAACCAAGTTAGTCCACAGCCAGTAAAAATGTAAAACTGACGAACTGGAGCTACAAGTGGCTTAGCAATTTTTTCTGCTAGTTTTGACGCACATGAGTTCCTTAAGGCAAAAACTCAGAGTGAAATTCTAGCAAAAAAAAGAGAAAATAAATTGTTCTGCACAAAACTAAGTAAAAACTGCCTTTATGTGAATGCCTTCCTTCCTGAATTCCCCTTCCATATCCTGTAGCAGCAGCAAATTGTATTTTTTTAAATCCCTTTCAGCAGCAACACTGATTGTTGGGAATGCATCCAGTTAGAGCACTTTCTGCAGAAAGAACCATTATTTTTAAGCAGAACTGCCCTCACTGTCTGAAAATGTGCCTTGTTAGCAGGTAGAGTTCAGGTTTAACCTGCAACATGGCCACCTATCTCAGGCGCACACCCACAACAGTTTTATTTAATCCTCCAAACTTCCAGATACTGAAGACCAGCAGAGCTGTCTGACTCGTAGCTCACTCAGATTTAGCTTTTCTTCATGATGTGCTTGCAGGCGTGAAATGTTAAGTTGTGTGGTTTAAACCAATGAAAGCATGACGATAAAAATACATCAGCACTAAAAATAATGGTTCCTCCCATTTTTACTATGTTAAAATTAACTCACTGTGTCTTTATTATCCACTAAGGACAACTAGCAGTTAGAATCACGTTATCCTGAATGATGAAAAAATACTCTTAAAACTAAAATGCTTGTAAAACCAATGCAACTTTCAACAATCCTGACCTTTAAGGGGCCTAAAGACATTATTATCCATCTAAATCTAAGAAAACATGGTTCCATCAGAGATCACGCCTGTTCTTTTCAAACAGCTTTGGTATTTTTCTGGTAAGTTTTTCATCTCAGTTTTGAGGAACTGACACTATTGGAATAGTAAACACTCATGCTAAATGGATAACTAGTGTGTGTGTGTGTGTGTGTGTGTGTGTGTGTGTGTGTGTGTGTGTGTGTGTGTGTGTGTGTGTGTGTGTGTGTGTGTGTGTGTGTGTGTGTGTGTGTGTGTAGGCGGGGGGTTAACGAGGTAAAGCTTCTGGAATCCACCCGTCACTAGATGAATGTTTAACTGGAAACTCAGGAGTGAAAAAAAGGTATTTAAGTCAAAACAGTGGCAGCTAATAATAATATCGACTTTACACAAGAAGACATCAGCAGGAGAGAAGAGTTCAAAGAATTAGATGTATGTGCAGAATGTAAAAAATGTACGGAAATATAAAACAACTCCTCTTTAGGCAAAGAACAAAAACGTTAAAGGGACATTCCACCCAAAATTGAAATTTGGTCAGTTTACATATTTCCCACAGTTAGAAAAGTGGAAAAAACTTTTTTATATTATTTTAATTTTTTTTACGCACACCGACACGGGTGTCACTCTAATGAGCCATTGCGTCAGTGCTGGCCATGCAAGAACTGGGATGCTTTCAGCTCCCAGGAATTGTGTACAGATCCTTGCAATATGGAGCCGTAGATCATCATGCTGCAACATGAGGTTACGCACATCGTGGAGGTAGCTAAATCAATCAAGCTGAGCGCAACTCGCTGTCAGATTCCTCTCACTGAAGCGAGTGCTTTCCAAAACCATGTCTCTCAGAGACTTGTCACTGACTTGTTCCCAGATTATGAAACTGACTTAATAGCGCTTATTCCTGTCTCCAATGTGGCAACGCATCCATGAGCCTGTCTGAGGCAAAGTCCAAAATTTCACATCCTCTTCAGCTCAGAAAGCTCCTTTAGAATCAATTGATTACGCACAAGCTGTCATGACTTGCGGGAGGCGTCTAACCCAAGACATAAAGAATCAACACAACAGCTGAGGTGAGTAAAAATAAAGTCTCTTTATTACAAAACAGGAACAGAAGAAGCACTGGGAAGTCCAGTGAGTAGATCGCCAGTAGATTATAGTCCAGAGTCGAGATCCTGAGATCCTGAGATCGAAGGGGATGGTGGCGAGCCGAGGAGAGCAAGGGAGGGGGTCCAGGTGAGCGAGGTGTGTGAGGCATCGGAGAGGAGATGGGACAAGTACCGTGGAGGAGGATGGGACATGGTCCTGAGGGTTCCGGGGTCTCTGGCGGAGAAGGTGATGGAGATGGTCTGAGGGTTTCTTGGCAGGGCAAAACAGACGAGGGTTCAGTGACGAGTCCAAAGTCATAATCCAAAGTTATCCAAAACACAAAAACTTGCAAGCAAGGCAAAACAAGTACAAGTGGCTGGAGCTAACCAAACTGTAGCAATCATCCGGCGTCGAGTAGTGTCTCCATCCAGGACACCCGGTGACAAATCCAGCGCAGCTGCTGTCCCCTCCGCTCCTCACCTGTGGGGGAAAACCCCCCAGAGATGTTTTATTGAGGAGAGGAGCACTCATGACACAAGCAGGTGACCTTTCAACCTGGTCTCACATGAGACCGGGCTGGACCTGCCCGGAGCAGAAGGACAAGGTTCATTTTGGCCACGGGTGAAATGTTCAGTAAAATTATTTAATTATAACATTCTGAACACACTGGTCAGGTTGTTTGGACCAGTGCTTGAAGTGCGCGCACACACACACACACACACACACACACACACACACACACACACACACACACACACACACACACACACACACACACACACACACACACACACACACACACACACACACACACGCACACGCACACGCACACACACACACACGCACGCACGCACGCACGCGCGCACACACACACACACACGCGCACACACACACGCACACACACACACTGCATTATGACGCAGAGGGACAAAATTGTTTTATTTATTGAGTATATGGTCAAAGTACCTTGTGAGTATAAGCTTTTCAAGATTGAAGACCTTTTGTGTGAAAACCGATTCTGACACCAGCTAAAGAGAGAAAACCCATTAGTCAGTAAATATTTATAGGTGGACAGTTTTCCTATTGGTGGAGTTATGACATGTGTGTAATAAAAACGGTTTGATTTTTACCATCTTTGCACATGCTTTTATGTTACCCCCGCCTTCACACCCTACCAACAAGGGGTTATAACAACCAATAAAACTAGGAACCATTTCAGTGTGTAGATTTAGGCTCTGTAAAAAATTTAAGTAAAGATTCCATTTCCCTTTATGCAGAGAACCAACCAACATTTCTGTTCCCATCACTGTGATTAGAAAAGTGTTATCCAATGCTACTTACATATGTGTCATCATACAGCAGGGACTGCAGAAGCTCGGGTAGAGCGGGTTGTCCAGTAATTTGAAGGTTGCACATTCGATCCCGGCTCTGACCAGAGAGTGCTTCTGTTGTGTCCTTGAACAAGACACTTATCCTGCTGCTGGTCAGCGGGCTTTGCCTCTGTCAGTGAGCCCCAGGGCAGCTGTGTATACATCGTAGCTCATCCTCACCAGTGTGTGAATGGGTGAATGACTGTGTTGAGAAGTGTCTTGGAGGTTTGTAGAACCCCAAGAAGCTGCTATACAAATACAGGCCATTTACCATCATAGCACAAAGTAAAGTACACAACTGAAATAAAAGGTTGATTTCACCGAGTTTCATGTAAAAATGCACAAATTCTGTTCAGATTTCACTGTAAAGGTGTGGGAAACTCATTTTAGCAATACGTTTGTATTGGTTGGTGATAGGAATGAGTGCCTTTCAAGCTGTTCTCGGGGCAAAAAATGCCCAGAAATGCTTGGATCAGCAGAGACAAGTCTGCCACATCAGAGGAGATTGAACACAGGATTTTGAGTCTTATTTTCTGATATTTGAGCATCTTACCCCTGATTGGTTAACAGCAACAACTCTACCACTGACTCAGTTTGCTCTGTGACATTGATGCTTTATCTCCACTAATAACCCAAGTCTAAAAGAGCTTCGGCTGTGTGGTTGAGTTGCTAATGCTAACAATTAGCTTCTGCTAGCCCAGACGTCCCCTGCTGATTCTGGACAACAACAACAGCCTTCCCCGTTGCAAGCTAGCACAAGTTAGTCCATGTGACTGATTGATGTAGATCTGTCAGGTTTTTCACACCCTAGAGGTAGGTGTAGGAGGTTATTTTCATGTTCAGCCTGCATGAAAAACTCAGAGTGACTGATTATAATCAGAAACATATCATTAAAAAATGTTTTATCAGAGAACAACACTTTTACACTGCAGTTTTGTTAAAGATTAGGGATTAACACAAGTTTAATCAAGTGTACAAATCTAGTTTCTTTTAATCTTTCACAAATGACTTGATTCAGTTCAATACAAACAGTTTCGTGACTTTCCATAAAGAAACCCCCCCGAATGAATCATCTCAGCTCTCTGCAGCAGCTATGTATTTCTTCTTTTTCATGGTGCACATTTCTGTCAGTGAGCTCTCTGCACACGCTTTGGCTGATTCAGTCTAAAAGCAGTAAACAGGTGGTAGTAAACAAGACTACTATTTCTGAGCGGGGTTCTTTGTTTCCAAAACGATGAGTCCATCAAGCCAATCACGCGCATGTCGACAAATGGATGTTGATAAAAGCAGCTACACTGATGGGGTCACGTCTATGAAATAACAGAATAAAAAAAAAACATTTGCAACTTAACTGCAGGCATAAGAGAACAAAAGACATTTAGTACAGAACATTTGAGGTTTCTGCCCATAAACATGAGGCGCAGATGAGGGAGCGTCAATGTTGATGAATTCTAGTAGGAGGTAAATGTCAAACGTAACTGTGGGCGTTGAGCATCACGAGCCTAGTTTTCAGTGCCATTTTTTATTCATATTTAAAAGATGCAAATTAGAAGGTTAAAATGTTTTCATTCCATTAAATTAGCATCAACTTTATTGTTTGTGGGACAAAGCCACTCACCGGAATGGTGTTTTTATTAGCCGAGAGGAAATCTGCAAGTGGCCAGATACATTACAATAATCCTAAAGTGGTAGATATGAAACAAAGCCTGCACTGTCTTGCTAAACTAGTGGTTTACCTGTGGGTTAAAAATGGATTTGCACCATTTTGTTGAAATTCAGCTAAAGAACCAGGGAAAGTCGTTGAGTGAATTACAGCATGGGAGTAAAACCGGGCCAGTCCTAGAAGAGACAGAAGTCAAACAGCTGTCAGGGGATTCAATTATGGTCGTGTTTCTGTGGCACACTCAAATGTTATGCCTCCCTCTCTCCCCCCTGCTCCCACCGCCAACAAACCATCTCCTCGCCACACTCAAGTTTAGTCGTGTTGCCTGCAGCGTTTGTGCATATTTGAAAGTATTGCCCGAGGTAAAAAACGAGGCTGGCATTTCTCCTTCAAGAGAAGCAGTCCAACGGTGTCACAGAGTCCCAGCCTGTAAAAAAAAAATATAAAAATATATATATAAAGAAGATTTTGAATACAGAAATGCCTTCCTGCCTTTGTCAATGCTTAAGTGCTATGTTGCAGCAGGTTATGAATGTTGTAGAAAAGACAGAAAAACAAATATTCAGCTTAAACCAGTTGCGACAATATTTGAAGTTTTCTAGGTCATTGTTTTGTTTTCCTTTTTATGCTGATTGGGTTTGAGGATTCAAGAAGTTTGAAAAAAAAAAGGAAAAATTCACTAGAAGAATTTAAAGAGGTCCTTTACTCACTTCATCTTTTAACACATTTGCAGTGGTCTCTGGTAAGAATGAATGCCTTGTAAGTCGTACCCTGGGGAGAAAAAAGCCCAGAAGCACCTGCATGGAGAATTCAACTGGAGGAAAGGTGTCTTCAGACAGCAAGATTTTGAGTCTTATTTCCGGATATTTGGACATCTCACCTCTGATTGGCAAACAGCAACATGACTCTACCACCGACTGTTTGCTCTGCGACGCTGATGCTTTCTCTCCACAAATAACAAGTCTGAAGGAGTTGTGCTGTGTGGTGGAGTTCCTAATGCTAATGGTTAGCCTCTAGTAGTTGAAAGATTCTCTGCTTTTTCCTGGATGCTAAAAAAACAGCCTTCCTTGTCACGAGCCAGGATGGGTGAGTCCATGAAGGTTAAGTGACAGTGACAGTGTGACATAGATCTGTCAGAAGCAAATGCAGCAGATAGGTGTAGGAGACTATTTTCATGTTCAGCCTGCATGTTAATCTCAGCATGACCGATCATTTTCAAAAATAATAGGTAAAAATGGTTTCTGAGTGAAGGACCTCTTTAATGACTTAAATCGAAGCAATGCTAATTACCTAGGCAGAGATGACGGCACACTCGTCCAAGCATATTGACACAATCTAGTCTCTAGAGTAGACTCATGGGGGGGGGGGGGCAAAAAAGAAAAGAGTGTCGAGTCTATATGTTGAAAGTAATTTAGGAATCAGAAAATCGAGCTGAAGAAAATCAGAGAGGAGTTATTTTTGGTACAGGTTTGGACGGTAAAGTAGGGCTGGGCGATGTGACCTCAATCAGTATCACCAGATTTCAAGCAGCTCACCTCGAAAGCGATAAACGATCAAAATCTAGTCATACGTCAGCAGTTAGAGGTAGATTTGTTATTTTTTGTTTTTTCCCCCGTGTCCTGTCTGGCTGTGAAGCAAACAGAATTAATGTCTGAATGCTGGTGACAAGCCTTACAGATTTACTCTCAGGTGGAGCATCAAAGCTTCTGCTTTAATGTTACGTCTGATACTTAAAACTTTATTGTTATTGTTTTTTGAATGCTTTATAATTCCGGCCAGACACGGAGACAGAGGTGCAAGAGAAAGGAAGAAACAAAAAAGGGGGGTTTCACAAAAATAAACAATCAATGATGAACAAGAGTCTGCTTCTAGACCAGTAGAAAGAGAAAAATAAAATAAAAAAGGGGACACACAGCAATACAACAGGAGCAAGCTATCACTGCGTCAACCTAATGAGGAAATATAAAAATCAACATTGTTTTACTGAACAATCACATGATAACTCACAGTGCATTTAGAGCCAACCACAACCACAGACGTGTTCAAAATGCCCAAGTCCATACTTATGAGAGCCCCATATGAGCACCTGTGTGCATACCCGCACTTGTATATGTAAGGTTTCTCTATAGGAGCATCCAATAGAGAGTGTGAGGGGCCACAGATCTACCCCCCAAAGATGTGTAGGAGATGGAAGGAGCTCCTACACAGATATCAGCGGCATGCCCACAGGCTCACCTGCAGCCTCCCACCCCCAAGCCGGCCGAGCCCGGAACCCAGCTACCCGGGACCCAGGGGCGACCTGCTCCGCCCGGGAATCAGATCCCACCAGGCAGCCACCGGGATCTATCAGGCAGACTCCAAAAATCTTAAACCCCCTGACCCAGGAGCCGCAAACACTCAGGCAGACCAAGGCACCACACTCCACACCAAATGTGGCAGGAGAGGGGAGGAGTCCAAGACCCCTCCTGACATATACAGCCATTCACAGACACAGTCACACACTCCCTCCCTCATGCGCACACATACACATACAACCTAACACTTACAAAATGAACCCACTCACGCTCCCCATACACACCATATTCACTCTGGTCCCGCTACTGCTGCACAAGGGGTACAACCATCACTGGTTCCCAGAGTTTTCTCCTTTCTGCTGGGGTGATGATGAGCAGGCACCTCCGCCCAACGCTGAGCAAAGCATCCCACCACCCCAGATCCCAACAAGATGGCCAGATCCCCCTCCTAGTCTCCAGCCCCGGCAAGCCAAGCGACAACAGAGGTGTGCCAAGACCCCTAATCCCCCTCTGCCTGCTCCAATTCAGTGTTAGTGCGTGTTGATGAGGTGTATTCATGGCTGTGGTGAGCGGGTAGTGCAGGCAATTGTCTGGCCTATGCCAGCTGATGCCACCACACCACCTCACTTGCACCCACAGCCATCTGTGTCTAAGTGCAGTTTAAAATTGGATGTGGGCACCAGCACTCAGGATGAGACTGTTAGAGGTAGATTTGAGCGGTGGCGATTGGGTCGAGTTTTAGTGTTCTTGAAGCAAATGCAGCAATGCCAAAAATGTCTAAATCTGTCCACTGCACTGACGCAATCATTCCCACACACAGCGCTGAAGTAAACGTTCTGCAAAGCGATGGATTGTCCTCTTAGTTTGCCAAACAAAAGTCCTGTACAACCAAATTAAGCACAAGATGGAGAGATATCCCAGGAGAAACCTAGCCAAGTCATAGCCAAGACATCAAACTTTTTTTTTTTACCATCGTCAACAGTTTGTTGTCGCAAATTGTATCAAAGTCTTATCTCAATACGTTTCTGTTTCTGAGTAAAACTTTATAAATAATTGCTACTAGGGCTGCTACAGTAGTCCGAATAAACCGCCTCAGATGCAAGGATGTCTTACAAAACATTAAAGTACCCTTTGAAATTGCTCATTTAGCCGAGCCTGCTCCCCACATTAACCCTGCTACAACACTCCAGGGAATCTGATTACCTACTGTACAGCTCCCATTAACAGTGTCCTGTTTACCTTTTATGCACCAGTAGCAACAGCCCATCCTTTACAAAAAATAAAATCTCACCACAGAATGTAGGATCAGCATTTATCAGAACTGTAAAGAGCACAACTATTCCTGTCGATGGTAAAAAGTAAACACTTATTACCATCAGGTAGTGCATCACAGTTTTTGTTCAATCAAAATACAAGTGACTATTCTATTCATCACACAGGTACATAGTTTTCCCCAGAAAATCACCACTGTTGCGTTAAATAACAGCCTTAAGCTTTATGCTCGACTCTTAACTTAAGAGGACGTTGTGTTCATCAGGCTAAAAAACAAGTTTCTTTACAGTATTTATAGAATCGCAATAGAAAAAGTAGAAGATTAGGTACTTAAAGGTCTTAATGAAGCATAAATACTGCATATGTCAAATGAATACCTGCCATCATTGCAAAGTAACGAGTCTCAGACAAAACGGAAATAATTGCTGTCATCCACATTCATTCAAGTGAAACGGAAAAATCTTTGGATTGTACTTCATGGTCAATTGAACGCTTTTTCAGGATAACTAAATGGGTTTGGCATTTTTAAGTGTATTGACAATTAAAACAAACTCACTTGGTCTTGAGACATTCTAATAAACACGGGCCCACACATTTATCACACGTATGTCAACAACAGAATCAAACACATGGCAGAGTCTTAAGTTTCATTTGTGCTCATGTTTTCTAATAAGGCTGGGCTGTTCTTTATTCATTAGCATGAATTATCAACTTGACGTAGTATTAAGGCCCAGGCAGGCAATAGAAAATTAGATTAGTAAGAATAAACTTTGGGGCAAATTCATTTTTATCATGTCATTCGGCAGAACGTGGTTTCATAACCGCTTTTTAAAAAGGGGAGCCCCAGGGTGTGTTTCAACTAGAGGGGGATCACAATCCTGAAGTCTAGTTTATACTTCATCAGCAAGGTTGCACTCACATGCACACATATTGTTGTTTTCCATTTATACTTCTCTGTTGGTGTGTCAGTGTTGGGAAGCTATTCTCCTCCAGGGGAGCAGAGGGCGTAGTGCTTTTCTGGGGTATCCTGCAGTCATGTCTCTAGTGTTCATGTTGTGTTTATGTATTTCAGAGCTTTTTAACATGGACACATTGGTCCACTACTTCTCCATGCAGTCACCACCTCTAAACTCACATTTCCCATAATTTTCTGACTTGTACTCCTTTAGTCCCGGGTATTTTAATGTTTATATAATTGGGCGTTCTTCAGTCTGCTCCGTTAGACATGTTCGGCTCTCGTTTAACTTGTTCTTAGGGGGAATGGTGGTGTTGATGAAGTCAAAGGAAGCAGCATCCTGACCAATCACAGGCTTTTGGTCTCAGTCACTTTTGACAGATATTTAGAAAAGTGGGCTCTGCTCCATCTGCCATTGCAAGCCTGTTGGAGAGCCCTTGCAATGACGGGTAATGGCGTTGTATGCCTCCATACCGACGCAGACGGAAAAGTATAAACTAGCCTTGAGTCTCCCTGGTAAAGTCTATTAGGGGCTTCTGAAGAGGAGGATTAGTCAATCTGTCGCTGTCATTGTGTCCTTGGGCAAGACACTTAACCCGCCTTGACTGCTGGTGGTGGTCGGAGGGACCGATGGCACCAGTGCTCGGCAGCCTCACCTCTGTCAGTGCACCCCAGGGCAACTGTGGCCACATTGCATCTCATCCCCACCATGGTGTGAATGTGTGTGTGAATGGGTGAGTGACTGATCAATATCAATATCAAATACAGGCCATTTACCATGTAGTCGAACCTCAGGACCTCCAGGGGTATGGAGTACCAGGCCCTCTGATATGGGCTGTTAGGTCCCTGTATTACCCTGCCAGAGCTTGGTCCGCATTGTCGTCAGTAAATCAGGCTCCTTCTCGG